CAGGGATTCAGTTCCTTGTTAAAGGTACCCAGTGGAGTTTTCACTGTAAACAAACAACTTTCAATGTTTCTCTACAAACCACACTCTGTTTCCTATAAAAAAATATGCTAAATGCATTACCTACCTGCTAAAACAACAAGCAAAGCCTTTCCCTTTGTTTTTTTTATGATTTTGAACCCTGCATTGTTAACACTGGCTTGCAGCTACGACCTCATATTATCAATTTATTATTCACAGATTACTTCCCTCATGTTGCTGAAAATATGCATTACACATCAACGTATTAATGGAGCTGGATATGTCAGTCAAATCAGCCTTACTCCCACTATGTCTCAGTGGCCAACCATGGTACTGCAGCAGCAAAAAAAATCTTATGTTGGCAGCTGAAAGTGATGTAACCACTTTAAATCGTTGCTGTCTGTTTTATGCCTTAACACTAATAAACAGATTTGGGGGAAGAAAACATTTTTCCCATAAATAGGTCTGTTGTTTGGTCCAGACTGAAACTATTGGATGGAATTTCATGAAACTTGGTACACATCATTCATGTTCCTTAATGGATGGATCCTAAAGAAGATGGTGATCTTTTGACTTCTAATGGCATCATGAGGTTGTGAGGTTTGTGGGTTTGAGTGAAATGTTTTCTAACTATTGGATGGATTGCAAAAAAATGTATGCAAATATTCATGTACCTCTCAGATTAATTATAATAACTATTGCGGTCCTCTGACTCTAATGCCATCATTAGGTGAATTTCTTTTTATTTTCCAGTACCTTGGTTTATTTACCTGCAAAACTAATGACATTCCCATCAACTTTAGTTGTACATATCACTAATTAGCAAGAGTGAACATGCTTTTTCTTGTGAAATAAGGCCGTACAGAAACACATGAGGGGTCCAAACAAAGAGTCTATTTCTTTCTAAAGAAACCAGACAGAGCTACATATTTTGTAATTGTTTGTCTTTTTCCAGTATTTTACAGCCTGAGCACGATATCCCACTCTAATGTAACGCTGATGTCTTCTCTCAGCGACAGCATATTATGAAACCCAGAAACAGCTGCTCTAACACTATATGTAATTACCACATATTTTTCTGCAGCCTGCCGGTTGTGATGTTTATGGAACCCTAGTGCCTGAGTGCTGGTGCACGAGTGTGAATGTGTGTGAGGCACGTACATAAACTGTCTTACACACACCGCTACATTCAGTAAACAGCTCACATACTGTACACAAAAACAGCTGTAAGTGCTCCTTTTGACCTTTCTGTCTCGTCTCATGTGCAGGTTTCCAGGCTATAACCCTGGATGGTTATTAGTCATGATGCCTGTGGGAAATGGCAAAGGCTAAATGTCACAATCCACAACACCACCGTGGATAATCTGTTTCCTAAATTTAAAATTGGCTGCGCTGGGTGGCTTGGGAGTTGGCAGCATTTTGATGGAGCTGTGCCCGTTATTATACTACAGAACCATACAGATTGAATTTGTCTGCCCCACCAAACTAGACAGAAAGAAAACACAACAACATCTGAAAGGACGGCTCATTAAAACCATTAGAATAATATGGGCTTCTCACTGGCACATGACAGCCATTTAGCTGCAATCCCATAACAGATCCCCTGTTTTGCTAACACCTGGGGGAATGTTGTAGCTGTATAGTTTGAAATAGCCTCCACTTCTCCCATCTTTCACCTTCCTGACAGCCTTGCATGTATGTGCAATGTGGGAAACAAAAGTCACATACAAACAAATGGCACTTTTTAGGTATGGAGGAATGTGCAGAGACTTGGCAGCTGACAGGATCACATTAATTTTCACAGAAAAAGAGAGAAAAACGTTCGTTGCCTCATTGTCCCTCCTTTGCTCATTGGCTACTTCAGTCGCTCAGTTCCCTTTGGATTTTCCCATGCCCTGCTATCTTTTCTCAAGTCTTAATCTTTTCATTCTGTCAGGCCCACTCTCGGCAGCCTCCTCTCTATTTCCAAAGGTCTGGGCTTCATGCTAATTGTCTCTCAATGGCACGGTTACCTCCCACCTACATAATGCACCTTGTTTCCTCCGCTCAGTCTGGGCTGCACCATTTTTGGCTCATTTAAATTCAGGAGGGAGAAGGACTGTAAAAGCAATGCCTCAGGCTACGGCCATGCAAAGCATCTACCAAAAAAGGGGGAAAAAATTACTTGCTTCCCTGTTTTTGGTGGAAATTTTCTGTGGGTGGGCTGACCATTGGGACATTTTGAAGGATGAGTTCCATGTGATTGCTGTTGTGTTAGACAAAATGTAATTTCTCAACTACAAGTTCGCTGTGCCAATATTCATCACACAGTTCATCATGTCATGCAGCAGCGCTACCAAATCATACACGTTATTTTTAAATTAGCTTCACTTTCAATTCAACAGTGATCTATAGTTCTCAGACAGAGTGAAAAGGCAAAGGGAGGTAAAGGTTATGACAATCATATTCACGTCATGAATGGAGATCCCCTCTCGCAGGTTAAATGGGAGTGCTGTCATGAAAGGCACACGTAAATTGTGCTAATTGTGTCCACGTAGACCCCAAATTGGCTGTTTTTTCTTTCGCTGTAGAGATCTCAACTTCTCAGGACTAAGATGACAGCCATGCACCATTAACATCTATTCAAGTGCACATGCTTTGATCTTCGTTGAGAGAGAGAGAGAGCAATGGGGGAACACAGGGGGAGAAAAATAAGGAGAAAAAACATCATCAACAATTCAAATGTGCCCAATTATTGGACCATAAATAAAAACCTAATTAGCATAAATTGCTTCCACATTGTTGCTATTTTTATTTAATTTATTCTTCCCTATTTAGTGGATTTGTTTGCATATTGTGTGTGTAGACTTCTGCATTAGAGTGCTTGAGTTATGATGGAGATGCTTAATTTCATAGTGAAATTGCTGCGCTAATTAAAACCTCTGGATAAATATTTGGTTTTTGCACAGGATCCACATGTGTTTTTGTTTGGAAACACAAAAAAGCATTTTTTTTATTATCTCAGAAACAAACCGATCCTGATAGCATCACAGCAACGATTTGATCCATATCGCAAAACTGTCAACACAGCATCTGTGACATTTCAAACTAATGACTTTAGTTTACCTCTGATGTCATGATCATCAGCGTCAGCATTTATTTAGTCATGACACATTTCTTCTTGACTTGTAGTTGCCAATGAATTTAGAGCTGAATTGATTTTGTTTTTTCTCAGAGCGAGGGAAAGTACTGAAACACCGCAACCAGAATTAGTTTCACACGTCCGCCTGAAAGGTTTTTGTTTTCCAGTCCTCCTCCGTGATGGTGCTCATAAAGGGCAGCCTGTCTGCTCTGTCTGGTTTGGGTTATGAAGTCACTTTTGAATACAGAAACAGGATGGCGAGGATCAGGTTGGATCACGGTTCTTTCCCAGCGTCTTCTGAAACATTGTTTTTGATCAGACAAACCAGGATCTCCAGAAATGGAAACAATATCTCACTGCTCTTTTCCCCCATTAACCCTTAATCAACATTTAGACAGCATCTATCTATCTGTATGTGTAGGAATTTAGTGTATCGCCAGCTGGGAATACAAACATCTGCACATACTGGTTATACTTTCATCTTTCTGACCAGTAGACCATGATTATAATGAGGTTTAAAGATGGCATTCCCACGCAACATGAAAACTAACTTTCCTTCTTTGTCACCTCAGGGTTAAAAACCTCAACACCCAGAGATACACCACTGTCCTCTCCCACACACTTTCAACACGTTGGGCCAGAGGTTCAGCCTGCCATTTGACTTTAAGACATCTTTTGTTCTCTTGTGGTTTTTAGTTTAGCTTCTATTACATGCCCTGATTCATCTAATTCCAATTTATAATTGCCAGTTTCAGGCGCAGACGGTTACAATAATAAGCCATAACTTCTCTCGAGTTTGAATGTTTTCCTTGGTCACTGTTGATGTCATTCGGCCATTAAAATGCCAAAAATGACTTAATTGTAATTTCCATCCAAGTTGCAGAGGGAAAGCATGCTGATTTCCAATAAGTGTCCCTATGGATTAGTGCAAGGGGTTGGTTTGGGTGATGTAGGTTGTCTCGAGGACCTTTTCTGGCAGAAGTGGACAATAAAAAGAAAAATATGATGAAATTATTGTTTTTGTTTAACTCTCATCTTTTATTTAGAATCAGTTTGACTCAGAACTGGAAAACCTGCTCATCTAATAACTGTATAAACCTTCTGTTTGGCTATTTGATGCTTGTTACTTCTATGTAGAAAACCAAATTCGCTAAACGTTTTCAGAGACCATACTACCATAGTGAAGCAAAAATGCAAATGGATGACTGGTTTAAAGCGAATTTAAATTTTTGTTAGTTGTCATTCTTTAAAATTTTTAATGTAATTACATTTTATTGCACAAAATTCATTTGCATGCAATAAAAATCATTAACTAAACATTAACCCTTTCAGTGTACTCAAGAGAACTTAAAGCTGCACTA